AAGGGTGAAAAGCAAGGAGGTCCCTAAAGATGCTCACCTGTGTGCATGACCATCATCTATCCTTCTGCTACTGGCAGCGAACCATCAGCACAAGAGGCAGTGGCTGCAAAGGTGGACTCCTCCGTGTCCACCCTTAATTTCAGCTAGATGTACCAGAATACTAATTCTTGGCAACTTCAGTGGCTGTCACTTACTCCACCGTTGACCAAAAATGGGCAAGCATTTTTTTCCACGAGTGCCGCACCTGTTGCATGCAAATCAGCCAGCCACGAATGACGTGCCCCCGATTCGTAAATGCAGGCTCATAAATCATGGAGGAACTTTTCCATTTGCATCCGAGATGGACCAGTGCCTGCCCCTTCCGCCCTTTTGCAGCTACAGAGTGGAGCAGACGTGCTCCAACAGATGTCCTGCATTCACATTCCTGAATATCCCAGGGGTTTAGCTTCTAGTTACATTGCAGGCACTGGAAGAATGCTTTATAAAGCCCTGTGAAATGTCGCATAAGTTGGAGCAGCGCACAGCTGTCGCATGCATGCTTCACATGGACAATGGACTTAGTCATGCTATCCCAGTATAAAGAGCCTGCCGTTATTATTGATGGGAAATACATTCTACTATGCATTGCAATGCTAAAATATAAAATACACATATTTTATATAATAAACTTATGTGTTGTCCATGGTTTAGTTCTCTTACATATCTCTTAGGGAAGTCCTATTACTTGTTGAAGGCTTTTGATTCCTTGCTTTTTGGACTTTCAGCTTGTGCATTTGGGTCTAACGATTAATGAATATATTGAATGTCAGTTTATCTGAGTTTCTCACTCTTCTTGTTTTAAGTCTGTGTTGTCCTATTTCCACACAAGTTTGCAATTTGTTGAAAAAAAGCACGGACATTGGTGTACGATTTTGGATGCATTTGTTCTAATATATGAAGTCTTGGATACAGGGCTGAGTATATGCGACTCTAAGATAATGCATTTTTGTAGAGGCTGTCCTGGGTTATGAATGAGTTCCATTCCTGAGAAAATGAAAATTTTCTTTAAGATGAATTTGTATGAAAGTTGGATCACGTATAGTTGGCCTCCCACATTCACGGGGGTTAGGGGTGCAGGACCCCTGTGAAAGTGGGAAAAATGCGAATATTTCTAGCCCCACCCTCACCAGTGCCTCCTCTTTGCAGCAGAGAAATGCCAGAGGGATTTCCCTCTCTGGACTGGTGGAGCAGGAGGGCCTGCTTTGGCGCCCCCCCCCCCCATCTCTCCTCCTTTCCTTTCTCTCTCTCTGTGGTAATGATGATTTTCCACTGTAACTTTAAAAAATCAATAAGCTTTATGGCAGTTTGTTCGTAAGTACGGGTTGTTCTCAGCTGAGATGTTTGTAACTTGGAGACTGCCTGTATATCATTTCCACTAACTCTTTTTGGTGTGCATTTCCCCCTTCCCCATACATTTTTTAAATTGGAGAAACTGCATTACAAAAATCTCAGATATTTGAGTGAATAACTGCTTTGGCCTAGGAGTGCAAGGGTCTCCTCCAACCCTTCTTATATGTGGTTGCCTGCACCGCTTCTGTCTTCTGTGCTTTCCCTTTTCACTAAAACTGCTGGTGTTCTGCCCAACATATGCACGTTTATGATGTGCAGGGCTTTTAGGGCCTCAGTAACTCTGATAAGTGATTGTGAGCTTGCCCTTTTCACTAGGAAGGGTTGCATTGGTGCCCCAACTAGTCTGGAGTCTTTACCGAGTGGCTGTATTGGCAAAAAGAGGAATTGCGTCGGCAAAAAAGGGGCACCAATTCGCATAACAGTTGCATACATCCATGTTTATGGATAAGTGCTGACTACACATTAACCATAATTTAAATAGAAATGCAGTGCATCCCTTCATAGTAGATATGTCTGTGACCAGTTGACCGAGTGCCTGTGTAGTTCGGCTCTCCAGGTGCCAACAGCTGTTTGGCAGCCCCAAGGCCTTTGCAGCTCTTCCTTCTGCGGGTTCTTTGACCTTAAAGCAGACTTGAATCAGGCACCTCTTCATAGAGAAAACCCTGCCAGATTTCGGACTGTCTTCTGCCAGCTCTCCAAAAGAGAGGACCACCCCTGTAAGCCCGGTCACCCCAATTCTTTACAAGAATCCTTGCAAACTGTAGGTATTGCGTGGTCCGCCCGAAATCAGATAGTGTTGGTCCAAGATCGTTTCCTTTACAAGAATCAGGTACCTCCCTGACGGATCCTGCAGCCAGCGCTCTGCCACAGACTTTCTGGGAACTAGTGAGCCCACCCTGTGCTTTCCTCCAGCTCCCGTGTCTCATATCCCCACCCCCTCCCCGTGGCTGGCATGAGCCAGGCTGTTAATCCCCGTGCAGAAACTAAACATCTTTCTTCCAAAGGGGGCAAGTTTGTGAGGCCCTGAAGCATGCAGTCGCGCCAGGCATCTTTGAAACAAGCTGCGTCTGACAAGGAGCAGCTTTACCTTTTTAGATTTTTAAAGGTTTTTTTAAAGTGCAGGAATGGGAATAAATACAGCATGAGAGTTAGGCAGAGCTTTGACACCCATATAACTTTGCCTGAATTGATTCTGCAAGAGTGCAGTATATCAGCCTGAAGCAGACAGTTTTCTCAGCGTACCTCCTGTTACTCCCTATGCATGGTGGGCCAGTTCTGTTATCAGAGTAAAAATGTCGGCCTCTTTCCTGTATCGTTTATATCATGAACTCCAGGGCTGTAAATTTGGACAGTTCTGTGGCAGTTCATGGGTTTACTGTTCTCATCAGCTTTATTAGAAAGGAGTGGATTCCATATACGCTGCCGCTGAGAAGGGAAGAAGCTTCCATTCCCCTTCTAGCCGCACATGGAGGGGACCAGAAAGCACGATGGAAATGGGAACAACGCTCTCTGCCAGCAGAGGCAGGGATGGGGAGACAGATGTTCTTGCAGCTGACCAGATGCAAATGAGGACAGGGCCCCTGCACCTGTGCCCCTAATGCAGCCCACGGAGCCTCTTTTGATTCCATCAGCAGGGGGGATGTGGCCTCCAATGGAGAGCGTAAGTGGTGTGAAGGTGAAGGGAACCCTCCTGTTGAGGGTGATGGCGGATTGGAGAAAATGCCAAAATTGCAGGCCCCTGATGGAGAGGGCAAGAGGTGTCCCTTATTTAGCTGGTACCTGCAGTAGCCGCTCCTCTAAGGACCACCAGGATCCCTTGCTGTGTGCGGAAAGTCCCCTAATTCCATCCTTCTCTTATCAGCAAGACAGGCAAAACGGGGGAGGAGAAACCATCTGGTCCATAGAGGCACCAGGAGCAGGGTTGGCCCTTTTATAACTGCATCTCATTGTGGTAGAATCAAGCTTCATCTCTTTAAAAAGCAGGAATTGGAACCAAAACTCCTTACGGGGTTGAATGTTGGATCTCCTCCATGTTTTTGTGCAGTGGAGTCAGTAACCAGTAAGGGCTGATGGAGAGAAGTCAGCACACAAAAGGTTGCTTTGTTGTTGTTGTTGTTGTTAGTTGCAAAGTCATGTCCGACCCATCGCGACCCCATGGACAACACTCCTCCAGGTCTTCCTGTCCTCCACCATCCCCCAGAGTCCACCCAAGCTCAAGCCAACTGCCCCAGTGACTCCATCCAGCCACCTCATCCTCTGCCGCCCCCTTCTTCTTTTCCCGTCAATCGTTCCCAGCATCAGGCTCTTCTCCAGGGAGTCCTTCCTTCTCATTCGGTGGCCGAAGTATTTGAGTTCCATCTTCAGGATCTGGCCTTCTGAAGAGCAGCCTCGGTTGTTCTGTGCTCGAGGGCTCCACAGTGCTATCATGTGTGCCGGCCCCACACTCCACAGATCATGATCCTCCCCTTGCGGAGGTGATCTCAGTGCAGCTGCTGGATGGACATGCAACTTCAAGCCCCAACAACAGCATGTGGTTGTATGAACATCCCTTTGGGTTCACCTGCAGTTGATAACTCATGGTCAAATGTGTGAATAGACCCCCCTGCAAAGGACTGTCCCAGAGCAGCCCTTCTGTCTAATTAAGGTGTGTGGCAGAGCTGCATCTTTCGTCATCTCGGTTTTTGTGCATTCAAGACCCTTTCCTGGGACAACTAGCCTGCACCTTGGGAGCAAAGGTGCTGGGCAGTCCTTGCTGGGAACTCTTCCAAGGGACTGAGCCGGACTTTAGATCATCTCTGTATGTTTTTCTGCCTACCAGCCCATGTGGCTCCAGGCACAGCTTAGAACAGGGTTTAGGCAAGACCCAAGAAGACTGACAAGAGTTCTCAGGTGCACCACAAGCCTCCGTTTGGCAATTTTTCCACGCTTCTGTCCAATTTCCCGGACTCAGGATATACGTAATTTTGAGAGCAGCATTATAAGCATACTGAAACAAACAAAAAAACAAACAAGTGTTCCCAGTGTAACCAAAGAAAAATAAAACAAAACAAAAAACAGTACTATTCAATACTAATACACTCAGCTCTTACATTTTCACAAGTGTCCCATACAAGAGTTTCTCATGAAAAGACTAGTTCTTTTTAGCCTTTTGCCATACAGAGGAGCTGTTCAACACCCCCAGGTAATTTTTCTAGCAGATTAATTTTAATGTGAAAGGCGCGTCCAAAGCTCCTTTGGAAGCTGTTAAATTCCCAGCCCGAATCTGTTTATAGAAGCCAAAGCTGTTTCGTGGAGACACTCTAATCAGACTGCAGCTACCGGGGCTTAGGTGGATCAATTACTTTGCTGCTGGAATTGATTGCTTTTCATCACAGGACTGAGTCCTTTGATTACATATTTGGGAAGTATGAAATGAATAGCTCTGGACTTATTATAGCCACGGGGACTAATCAGCATGGACCAGATAGACCTGGCTTGCCAAGTGCGCCTTCATAACATGAGGCCCCTTTTAATGTGAACTCTGCTTTGTTTGTTTGTTTGTTTGTTTCTGTTGTAGTCCCATAATTGCATGCATTGTTCACACTTTTTAATACAATTTTAATTCAGAGCTTATGGCTTGTTTGCAGAACAACACTGTTTGGAAGCCGGACTCATGCCAGGAGTGTGGTTGCCATGGTGACATTGTAATATGCAAGGATGTCATTTGCAGAAACCCTCGTTGTGACTTTTGGCAGGTAAGGTGCAAGACTGACGTCCAACTGGTAATTGAATCATTGTGCTAAGCGGGGGAGGCGTTGGGATGGAATGGCTCTTGCTGACATTGCCAGAGAACAGGCCGCAGCTCCGTGACACAACGCATGCCTTGCATGCAGAAGGTCCACGGCCGAAGCACCGGCATCTTCAGGCAGGACTGGGGAAGATCCCTGGGAGAAGCTCCGGGAGTTGCTGGCAGCCAGAGCCCAGGAGGGATGACTGGCTCCAGGGCCAGTTCGGCGGCACATCCCCTACAGCCTTCACTCCTGCCTTTAAAGGCCTGTCCGTGGTGCTGAAGGTGGGCTGGCGAGGGGGTCCGCACCATGGGTGGCTCCTTAAGGGGTTGACTTGACGTGGATACACTGCCCCCTGATACTGGAGCCACTAGCTTCCCCTGGACCGGCCGTCTCCCAAGCCGGTGCCCTCCAGATGTCTTGGACTTCAAATCCCATGAACACTCACCAGCATTCTGGCTGGAGGGAACTAGGCTGAGGAAGGTTGGTGTGGATTGGGTGTGCAGCATGTGGGCCGTGAGCTACTCGTGGGCCCCAGGACGGCCCCTGTCTCACCACTAAATCCTGGAGTGACAAATAATATCAATGAAGTGAGGTGTCGTTGCATAAAATTATGGCTTTAGCTCTGTGGAGCACTCTGTGCTGCGGATTGAGGAGCATGGCTAAATAGCTGGGCGCAAGGCGGAGAAGGGATCTGGACCCCAACATAATGAGCAGCTCCTTTGAACTCAGCATGTTCAACGCCTTTTTCTGCCTTGTCCTTCAGAGTTGGGCGCACTGCAGGGGGAAGCGTTGGTCTGCAGCTGCCTTGCCTCCGTTTTCATTTCCTAAGAATATATTTGAGCTGCATCATTGGGAAGCAAAGATGGCAGCAGATGGAGGGTCCCCCCTGCTTACAAGTGATCCCCAAAATGTTTTCTTTAAAAAATAAAGGGAGGGAGGGGGAGCACTTTCCTGGGCATCAGGGAAGGTGTCCAGGAGCAGGTAGGTGCTGGAAAATGGCCCTGCTCCCGTTTCTTGGTGAGAAGACACTGTGTTGTTGAGGACAGTGGGCCTCAGAGGTGCTGAGCACCTCTGTGGAACGGTGAGGTCCTCACAGATGCAGCTTCACTTAGATATGGACAATTATCGTCCAGTCTTCCTTTTTCAAGACAGTTCTACACAGGGAGGTGGCTCATCAGTTCTAGGCAGTCACTATTTTAGGAAATTAGGAGGGTAGGTACTTGGAGGAGGGCTTTCTCTGAGGTGGCGCCCAATCTATGGAATGTGCTCCCCAGAGAGGTCCGCCTGGCGCCGTCGTTATTTGTTTTTCGGCGCCAGGCGAAGGCCTTTTTATTTAAACGTCATTTTAATTGTTAACAATATTTACTTATTTACCTGGCCAGGGCGACTTCTTTTCTTTTATAACTTTTCTTTTATAACTTCTTTTATATCGTTTATATTTTTTATTTATTTTATATTATTAATTTTAATTTTATATTGTTATTTTTGTATTGTATTTTATTGTGTTGTAAGCCTCCCCGAGGCTTCGGCAAGGGGCGGCATAGAAATGTTCTAATAATAATAATAATAATAATAATAATAATATTTGGATTCTGGGTTTCTGTAGGTCTGAGGGCAAGAAACAGTCTTGGTGACTCTAGTGTGGGGATGAGCGAGTTGTGGCTCTTCAGATATTGCTGGATCACATGAAACCTCACCAGTTGGCTAAGACTGATTATCTGGTCTGGGGTTGGGAGACACAGTGTTTTGGTGGCTCCAGCCCTATCTGGATTGTTGCTCACAGAAATTTGGCTTGGGCAAATTATCTGGGATACATCAAGATTCGGTATTGGTATCTCATGCTTTCAGTGGCTGTATGAAGCCACTGTGTGGGCTCATCCAGAGATTTTGGTCTGTCAGAATGCTTGTGACACGCAGCCCAACTCTCTTTTCTGCCTATAAATCCCAGAAAGGCTACGAATGTCTTCAAGGTTAAGCTGAAACTCAGTCCAGCTAAAACAGAGATTTCGTGGGTGGGGAAACCAGCTCTTCTGGGTGGCAGCATCAAGCCAGATGGGGGTTGCTTGGCCCTTGAAAGATCAGGTGCACAATTTGGGGGGATTTTCTTGGAGTGGGTGCTAAGAGTGCAACCTGATGATGGTGTTGGCAAGGAACCTGTCTTCCCACTTAGGAAGAGTATTCCAGCCGCAGCCTTGTTTGGAACTGTTGCACCCAGGTGCCTCAAAACTGGATCCCTATTAGCACTGCATCTTGGACTGCCTGTGAGGCTGTCTCAGATACTGCAAGTGGTTCAAAGTGGTGAGGTTCATCTGAGCACATGTTCCCTCCCCCTTTGTACCAGTTGCACTACTTATCAATTCATTTACATTTGAAGTGCTGATTATGAACTTTAAAGCGTTACACCATCTGGAACCAGATTACCTAATACTAATATAATTCAGCCTATACTTGTAGGCTATTTTGAGGCACTTAGCCCTCCTCCCCCACAATTGGAAGAGCTAGATTGGTGAGAGCAGGAGGCAGTGCTTTCCCAGGGGTGACCCCTTATAGAATTCCCTTCCCCTTGATTTTTCCCTTACTCTTTAGGCATAGGCTTTAGGAGAGCTTTAAAAGGGAATTGTTCAAATTGGAATTTCCGGAGTAAGTAGATAGCATGTGTGTTCCACTCAAGAACCTCAGGGTTGGCTTAATTTCCTTAAGCTCTTTTATTATGCGAACATAAGCTTGTGACCTCCACAACAAACTCGCCTTTTATAAGCCATTTTTGTGCAGGTATGTCTCTGAATGAATACACAGATACGGAGGTCATGGGACAGAATACTGTGAATGGACTTCTCTAGGCCGATGGATTTATGATAGCTGCTGACCAACCCTTTTCATCTTTAGGGGGAACGGCTCCAAATTGCTCCCAACGCATGCTGCCCTACATGCATTTCACGAACAGAGGGATTCTGTGAGCACGAAGGACAAATCCACGAGGTGAGCATTTCTTATGTAATTCTTCAACTTGTGGTGTTTCCTCCTTGGAATTAGTATGTCAGATCCATGAAGAGAACCTGCTTTGCTTCTGCAAGGAGATGTCCAGAGAACTTCATGCAGGAAAGACAATCTAAAAGCAGGATGTAGTTTGCAACCTGGCACTTTCCTAGTGTGTTCAACAACAATGCATCCCAGCCATCAGCGAGCATGCAGTGTGGGAGAATGGGAGATGTAGTCCACCATATCTGGGGGACCCCTGCTTACAGAAGGTTATTTTAGCTGTTTGACTGCTGTGCAGCTCTTGGGAACTCTGGTTCCTCAATGGCTGGTATTCTCCGTAGCCAGAAAATGTTTCACTTATCTGCTCGGCCAACTCTTTGGCTGCCTTAGATTTTTGTCTAATTTTTGCAAAAGGGAACTAGGTCAGAGAAGTTTTATGCCGCTTCACACATGACCGAAGCACCGTTATTGCTGCAAATTAACTCTTGGGCAGATATCCAGAGGTAGAAAAAAGAGAAAGGAAAACGAATGGACATGTTCTTGCTGCCAACTGGGTCAGAGAGGGCGAGCCTGGCATTTCCACTACATGAATGTTTGCGTGTTCTTTTGCAAGAGCCTGTTTGTTTCACGGTGACATGAAGGCAGGCGGAAAGAGCCATCGATCTTTTCTTCCTCTTGTTCACTGTAATTTCTCCCATCTGGAAAAAGAGAGGTACTCAGAGTAACCTGGCAGGCTGGCAGGGGCTGCTCTGGAGGAGCAGGTGTACTTTTTATTAAAGCAGGAAACGGGACCTTTGTTTCCAGAGGGAGCGTCTATTTGGAAGGCCACTTGCTGGAGAAAAACGCTGTTCCATCCTGCTTGATCACTAGAGGGGCAGAGGAAGAGAAGCGAAGTAGGGTGTCAGCAGCTGTGTTGGGGCCGCAACCATCAAGCTCTGCTTGTTCCCATCAGCCGCCACTTGGCAGTAGCCATTCCTCTTGGGTGCAGCAGGAGCTCACGTTGCATTCATTTCAATGGGCGCATTGAATGCATTAATTGCATTTGTCTCTGCTCCAAGTAGGATTTCTGTGGGATTTTACCCCTCAGGAAGCAAAACCATTCCATTCAGTCTACTGATAAAGCTGCAATGCCGGGCTTCTGCCCGTGAGCAGCTTCCAGGGCAGTTGGTAATTTTTAGAATTAGGTAACTAAGAACTGGCACCCAAGGGGGTCTCCCACTTTCCACCCTGGTCCTTATACCTTTTGTGCCATCATCATCATCATCATCCTCATCCTCATCATCATCATTGCTTTGCATTTATAACCTGCCTTTGGTGAAAAGCACAAGGTGAATCATGTATTTCAGAATGAAAGTCTGGGATTCTCACTGCACAGCTTTTTTAGATGGAGAGTGGGGTAAACATGGTTCAGAGAACCAACCAACCAACTGACGTTCCCCGTGAGTCTTCCTCTTGTGCAGGGGTAGAACTGTCTAGGCTGCATCAGGTTGTACACTGACAAAATGTATTCATCCCTGGGAGGGAATAGAACTTGGAAGTGAGCTGAACAGGGAGAATCTTGGTTCTGCTCCGCACTTGTCCATGCAACTCACTGGGTAGCGTTGGGCCAGTCGTGGGTTCTCAGCCTGACCTGCCTCACAGGGTTGTTGTGAGGATAAAATGGAAAGGAGGAGCATGTATAAGCCACCAGGGGTTCCTTGTAAGACGAAAAATGGTGGGATGTAAATATAATGGAATGAAACAGAATGGAATGACCATCATCCAGAAGGGGTGTTGTTTATGTTCACGTTCATGCTGAATGTAGAGAACAAAAGGGTTTTTACAGCCTTCTTAAACGCAACCGCAGGTGGGACCAACTTTTCATTATGTTCAGGAGTGTGCTTGGAAAAATTGCACTATTAAAACATGGCCTGGTTCTCTCTTAGCTTGACTTCTATCATGGGGTTAGGGAGAAGGAGAAGCAGAGTAAGTATCAACGGAACCTGCCCAACGGTCTTGGCAACCCTTTGTTTTGTTTTATTGTGGATTTATGCAGCCTTTTGGACTATAACCCCCATTTTCCCCAGCCCGTATGACTGTTAGCGCCCCATTGACCATCTTGGCTGGGGATGATTGGCGTTTTAAGCCATTAGGTTTGCATGGTACCAGGTTGGGGCCAGCAAGATAGCCCTTAATGGGGTCTATTAGCAGAAACATTCAAGGAGTATGACGCCCATCAGGTGCTGGTGCTGGTACGGATGATGTGTTGTTCCCTTTCCAGCCTAAGAATGATGTAATGATAGATCTACCTGTGATCAAATTGACAGATGCTGCAGTTTGGAAAAAGGCAGAAAGAGAGCAAGAGAGGAGCTGCAGGCCAGCAGCATCTGGAAAACTATTCTAGGGTGGTGCAACTCCTATTTGTAGGAGTCAGGCCGTGTACCTCCACCTGGGTTCAGCTTGTTTCTTTGTAAATAAACACAAGTTTTACAGAAATGCCTGAGATCTCCAAGGATCTCTTCCTGCAAAGGAAGGTGTTGCTGTCAAAACTTTCGTACAGAGAGCACAGAGCAGCATGTTCAGAAGTGGGATTGGCGCAGATGTAAACACTGAAAGATACGATCTGGTTTTCTTGGCATTGCTGCTCATGCTGGAATCAGGAAGACAGAAAACGGGGCCCTTGCATCTTCCTCTCTTCAATGACCACCCATAAATGGCTGCTACGTGTTTCTCTCCTTTTCCACAGGATGATACCGAATGGGCCGGCTCTGGATGTGCAACCTGCTCTTGTGCCCATGGGAAGACCACCTGTGCACCCAGGGTGTGCCCCACACTTTCGTGTGGGAGAGGCGCCGTGGCGTCCCTCGGCCGAGGAGAGTGCTGCCCACGCTGTGTCGGCAGCGGAGGTGAGCGAGGGAAGGGCGGCCCAGGAGAGGCACTGTGACTCTTGCGTTGCTTGTGCATGTGGCGTGGGGTACCTATCAGCCCCAGGCCGAAGCACCTCCAGGCCTCTGCTGAGGTTCCTCCCCCTCCCTGAAGCCCTGCCCTGCGCCCCACCCATCCAAGAGAGGGAGAGCAGCCAGGTGCCTTGGGAACTGCCCAGAAATGAAGCTTCCCAAGCAAATCCAGCTGCGAGGGGGCTGCTGCGTCGAGGCACTGGGACACGGTCGGGGGAGCTTCGTAGTCTTTCCCCCGAACTGCCTAGTAGTGTAGGAATGGTGTGTGAGTGGCTGGTGAGGGGGCGGGCAGTTCCTGCCCAGTTTGGCCTCTGCTGGTGCCCACCTCAGCCGTGTGGGGCCTGAAGTCCTTCTGCAAGGTGAATATGGCCCTCGGCTCCAAAGGACTTCCCATCCCTTTGATAGACGCTCCTCTTCTTCCAGACGCAGATTTCTGTGCCTGAGCACTGAAATTAGATATGTTCCAAGTTACACCTGCACCAGTCTGGCTGGTATAAACAGTCCATGGGCAGGCAGCTTGTTCATTCGGACCCGTCCGATAGGCCCAGCATTGCAGGCAGCCAAGGGGCATTTCCACGTGGGACTTCCATATGCTGCTCCTCTCTGCTTGACCACAGGCGCGGATGAGCAGAGCAACCAAGTGCAGGCACCCCCTGCTTCTTCAAGTTCTATCTCAGCGTTTGTCCCGACTGAAGTCTGAGCCAGAAGAAGCCTTTTTTCAGTTTTGCAGGAGAATCTGTGTCTGTTACCATGCATTTTCTTCAAAAGGTGCTCATCAGTTATACCCAGCTTTGCATATGCCTTCAGGTGCATTTTTCAAGGGTACACATGCAGTTCAATGAGGTGTGTGTGTATCAATCTCATCACAATCTTGTAACGTGCAGACTTTGACAGCAGATTGCCACCAAATCCTTGCCTAATTTGGAAGATGCAAACTGGGGAAACCCTAATCAAAACCAAACTGATTTCTCATACATCCCCATCATTTTTCTGAAAAAGTACATACTGAAATGTTGCAGAGGTATGTAGTGAGGGTCCCCTGTAAAAACCCGAGAGTGCAGCTTCACTTACCCTAGGTAATGTGTGCAGACAAACAGGCAGAGAAAAGGTGGGGCTTAGAGCTTGAACCTCCCTTGTGAGGACCGGGACGTAGCTGGCTGACGGCGGCAGTCAGGATGCCAGGACCGGGGTGCTGGTGGGAAGCTGAGCTCATAGCTTAGTAGGGCTAGAGGCTGGCAGCGGGGCCGATGGCCCAGGGTCTGAGATGAAGCAGCAGGCAGTCTGATACTGTCCCAGAGGGAAAGCACTGTCCAGAAACACACCAGTGCTCAAAAGCCAGGGAAGCAGTCACGTAAAGATGGTGAAGGCGGAGAAGAGGGCCACAGGGACAGACAAGAGTGGGCTGGGGCAAAGCAGGAGCAAACTGGAACAAGCAGGGGTGCATTTTTCAGTTTGGGGGTTGCATTTCATTTTAGAAAAGTTTTCCAAAAGCAAAAGTGGAGTGGCCAGAAAAATCTCAAAGATACCAGCGTGTTTTAGCTTAAAGTTCTTGGTGCTAGTAGCTAAGCCTTAAGGTGTTCAACCATTTTAGAAAGGAGGAAAAGGGAAAGGGGACAGAGCCTTCTGGGGAATGCTCTAGAATATTGCATGAAGGCAGGAAAAGCAAATGTCATCAATGCCTTTCAGAGCCTTGCTTTTTTGATGGCCGCACGTTCTGGGACGGAGAGGAGTGGCGGCCCAGCCAATGTGCCAAATGTGTCTGTCGGAATGGGACTGCGGAGTGCTTTACCATTCGCTGTCAGCCTGTATTATGTAATGAGGTAAGATTATGCATGCTGTCAACTTCTTTGCATTTTACGAGCTTTTTAAAAACTGTAATTAGGTGATGTATGTTCTCATTGGAATATGCAATCCAGGCAAAAAAGTCTATCATTATTGAAAATATAAAATAGAAGAGGATTACAGGCATTTTATTTCCTTTATCTGCGTATTTGCCACTGCTAACAAGAGTTGAGCTTAAACAACAGGGAGGCGTTTCATGGAACCATTCAGCCCCTGAAAAGGGTCGCTCCGGTTTGCCGTTTGGGGTGGGGGCAGGGGTCAGAGGCTCCTTTAAGGGCATAGGACAGTGGAGGTGAACCTGTGACACACATGCCACAGGGGGCACATGAGCCAAGCCGCCCCAGCAGGATGACAGCGCACATAGGGGCCATGCGCATGTTCGGAAAGGAGTAGTGGTGCCCGGCGATGACGCTGCAAGCCGTGCCACATTAGCCAAGGCTCATCTGAGCTTTCACATAGCTGGTCAGTGCGCTGCCAAGGAGATATATTTTTTTTCCTTGGACTGGCTGTTTTCGGGTTTTATTGCAGAGTTGGCACTTTGCGGTAAAAAGTGGGTTTTGGGTAGAAGTTTGGGCACTCAGTCTCTAAAAGGTTTGCCATCACTGGGTTAGGGTTAGAAAAATGAGGAGTCCTGGCATGATTTTGAGGGTTGGAATGTGTTGAGAATGGGCAGAAAAGATGAGCTGTGCAGAGAAAGCTCCTCAAGGAATGTTTTTACAAAATTGGCATTTTCAGTGTAATTTTACCCCTCTATTAGGGTTAGGGGTGTGCACCCGGATAGGGTTAGGGTTAGGAAAACGAGGTGTCCCAGCATGGTTTTGATGGCTGGAATGTGTTCAGGATGGGCAGAAATGATGAGCTGTGCAGCAAATGCTCCTCAAGGAAGGCTTTTTCAAAATCGCCCTGTTTTCAATGGAATTCTCACCCTCTATTAGGGTTAGGGGTGTGCACCAGAGTAGGATTAGGGTTAGAAAAACGAGGTGCCCTGGCATGAAACGAGGTGTCCTGTCATATCCTCCCACCTGCATTTAAAGAGAGGGGTATGCCCAGGAATATCTCTGTCTCCTTTCTGATGAGAACATCTAAACTTTTTAAGGAGGGGAGGCTTATTCAAGTGTTCCACAGTTGGCTCAGATTTGCAACAAACATGTGGAGCTGAAAGAAATGAGCCTTGGAAGAAATGTCAGTAGATTCCTAAACATTCCATTTTACTGCTCTTCCTCAGTATCCCGTTATCCCGCAATTGCTTCTGCCAACATTTAATCAGGCAGTCATTAGCATGCCATAGAAGATGGAGGAAATATATTGGTGACACAAGGAAGGTGTGAATAATGGGATTGACCTTCCCCCTGTTAATGCAGCAATAAGCGCAGCACAATCCCCCTTCCGCCAATTTTGAGAAGGGGTGATAGATTTCCCAACAAGAGGCTCTAATGGGAAACGCATTAGCCTTAATGGTGGGAACCTCACCCTGCTTGTTCTTCTTGCTCATTTGTTTCCCTCCAGGGCTTTCTGTTCCTGTTCTAGCAAGGTGCCCATGGGCAGAATAGGTTTGCTGTCCCTGAAAGCGAAGTTTTCCATTGACTTACATGGGAAAAGGGGTTGGGAGCAGCTTTTGTCATGCACAGGGGACTTCCAAGGAGACCAGTGATGGAAGTCCCAGCTCTTTTCTCCCACAGAAACCATGACCCTCTTTTAGGTTCGCCGGATCTCAAGGTTGGACCTGTGGTTTCAGAACTTGAGCAATTTTCTCAGGGTCTCCAGTGCATGGAGTCAGGGCCCTTGGGTGCTTTTGAAGGGTGCTCAAGACATTCCAGTGTCAAAGAAGAAGGAATTCAAATGAAACCCCCAGTGGTATTGAAGATATGTCCCCTGTGAATGTTGTGGAAGAACCATTCAGGGCTCGCCCCCTCGGCACCCTGACACTCTTCGCCGAGCTTGGCTCTTCCCTCCACGGCAAAGCCCTGCTCCTGGGAACCAGCACCTTGATGACGTGGTTGGTTACTGACACCTAGGAAAGGGGCTTCTCCGTTCACAGTATCATGGAGCTGCAAGGGGCTCTGAGTCCAATGCCTGCTCGGTGCAGGAATCCAGTGCAGGAATCTCCATTCCTGGCAGATGGTTGCTCCATCTCAAGCAATGGAGAAACCACCACCTCCCTCCGTAGTTGGTTCCATTGCCTGACTGCTCAGTTCACTGGGACCTTTGCCTGATGTTCAGCCAGAATTGGCCTTCCTGTTACTTTAGCTTCTTCTTTAGCTTCTTCAGCTGTTACTTTACTTCATGTTCTTCTTGTCCAATTGATTTTGTGTCTCAAACACCAGTATTTTTTTATCTGGACATTCCTGGGAGGCTCTCATCTCTGGAAGGCTCAGCCCTCCACGGCCAATCTTTTTGGGCGTCTCTAGCGTCTTCAGTTCCCCTCTCCAGGGATCCCTAGATGGTGTTGGATCTCAGGGTGAAGGACCCCAAATATTAGCTCCAGCCCCATCTCTGTTGGACTCCACCACAGAACCATGGAAGCATGGAAACGTGGAGCTGGAGAAGAAGGGCGTTGAGTCCAGTGCAGGGCTCCAAATTAAGCCATCCCTCTCAGATGGCCGTCCAGCTGCCTCGTTCTTTGGTGGAGGTCCTAAAGGGGGATCTTCTGCCTTCGGCTGACCATGCCTAGAATCCACCTCACGGCTGAGAGTTTCAATGGCACTGAGATTCCAGGTGGGAGTTGAGTCCAGCACCTCTGGAACATGCAAGATTGAGGAAGGCTGATGTGCAATGTTTTAAATACACCCAGTGAAAAGGTGTAAACCTCCCCCCCCCCCTTTTGCTCTTTAAACTTTAAACCTTTCGCTCTTCCTAAGTTCTGGAACCAGCTGTGACGGGATCATGGGGGAGGGGAGCCAAAATGCACAGCATTGCAAACTTGTGTCAAGCACCTGTCTCTTCCTTTCGTTTTATTCTAGCCTAGGTGCAGGAGGTCCAGTCCAGAAGAAGCACTGGATTCTTCTGGAAGCACTGTGACCTCCAGTGCTAGGGCCCCAGTCCGAACTGGGGGCTGTGCACCTACTCTAAAAAAGATGCAAAAAGAAAAGAAGATGCAGTTGCTGCACAGTTAAAGCAATATCTGTTTTAACCGGGAGCATGTTGCATTCTGGTTGGAGAGCTGTCATACACGGCCTAGGCGGCCTCTGCTGTTGAGTGGTACAGAAGTAATGTAATAAAATTATAATAACAACTAGCAATTCCATTCTTGGCATCTGCTCTCTCTTACACATTTTTTTCCTTCCCCTGGTGCTTAGGATGAAGACCTGGTCGTTCCTGCGGGAAAATGCTGCCCAAACTGTGCCCCCAAACCCTGCTTTGCATCTGGGAGAGCATATGAGGTAACCCTCAGATGAAAGCGCCCAAGAACATGACGTGCCTTTGTTCTTCTCCCAGCACTCGGGGCTTTTGTCAGCATTAAATATATATGAAACCCGTGGCTTCTTTTCTTCCTCCCGGGAAGCCGCAGGCCTTGAAAGGGCTTAGACATAGAAAGGGATGTGTCGAGCTGTGTTTTATCAAGTGCTGCAGGGGGTGGTTGCCCGGGGGCGGGGTGGATAACGGACGTGGGTGAGAAAGGCCGTGGCTTTACATAGCATAATCAAGAATGCGTTTCTTGCAGAAAAGGACAGTAGGAACTGTCAGGTTGCTGCCTTAGGGGAAGAAACGGAGATACAGATCTTTATCAGCGTTTCCAACATGGTCTCCTCTAGATGTTTTGGACTGCAATTCCCATCAACCAGCAGAAACAGTGGTCAGGGATGATGGATGCTAATCCAGAGCATTGAGGGAGGGCACCAGCTTGGTAAAAACAGATTGAAGTGTTGTCTCCTTTATTCAGGAGGAAAAAAATACAGGTGCTTAGCTTACAGGTGAGCTCAGATACGGATCCTTGGATAAGCTCACCTGACTGAGGGATGTTGTCTTAACAGGAAGATTCTAATTTTGTGCCCCAAAGATCTTACCAAAACATACTGGGCGCTTTAGAAGGGCATTTGCATGCAATCCTTTGCGTGTCACCTCAGAAATTTACCTCGCTGTATTCAGTGGGGCTTCCTCCCAGGTAGCGACTTCAGTCGTAACTGTTTGATAAAGCTCCATTTCCACATTGCTGCGTTCCATGTTGCTGTGGTCATACGTATATATCAAATGTCAGTGTGGTTAATGCATGTTACAAATAGGAGCCACAGACTGACTGCTCAGCTGACCTTCAGTGAAGCATCTGTGTGGCGCAGTGTCAGACTAGGACTCGGGAGAGCCAGACTCTGGTTTCCACTTAGCCATGAAGCTCAGTGGGTGACGTTGGGCCAGTCGCTGACTCTCTGTTTAAGCTTCCTTACGGGGTCGTCAGTGTGAGGACCAAATGTTGGGTAGGAGAACCTTGCATGCCACTTTGGCTTCCTTGCAAAAGGAGGAAAGTGGGATATAAATGTAAAACCACACCAGTGAGCAAAGCCTATCATCAGCAGTATATTTTTCTACAATTTTCTTTCCAAGTTATGCATGGGGGGTTACATAGTTTCCCCGCTCCTCTTTGTATTTTCACAACAGCCTGGTGAGGGATGTTAAGAGCGAAAGGGAGGGAGTACCTGCAAATTTTATTAATTTATTTTATTTATTTTTCAATTTATATCCTGCCTTTTTCCTACAAAGGGCTCAAGGCAGCATACATCTCCTCCTCCATCTTATCCCCACAACAACCCTGTGAGGTAGGTTGGGCTGAGAGTCTGTGAGTGGCCCAAAGTCACCCAGTTGGCTCCATGGCTGAGCGGGGACTAGAACCCGGATCATCTGAGTCCCAGTCCCGTGCTCTTCACCACTACGCCACACTGGCTCTCAAGCGAAGGGAAATCTCAAGGGAATTTGAACCTGGCTTTTCCTTTTTTGAAGTCCGCAATACTGCAAGCTCTGTGTAGACACGGGCAGTTGATGTCAATAGAACGATTAATGCCTAATTTTCTTCGGGTTGTGTAGCACGGTGAGCACTGGCAGAATGACACCTGCACCAGGTGCATATGTGACAGAGGGGAGACCAGGTGTTTGAGACAGTCCTGTGCACCACCAGCCTGTGGAAAGGTAAGTTCTGAGCTGACAAGTCCAGGAGAATTGGGGGCCTGAGGGAGGGTTGCCCCTTTTTCCATCTCATGAGGCATCTGAATTGTGTGCCCCAGGGGGAGAAGAAAGTGAGGCGACCCGGAAACTGCTGCGAGGAGTGTGTGCGTTCCAAGGGGAGCTGCGTGCAGAATGGCACCATCCGGTACCAGGACGAGATGTGGAACGAAACTCGCTGCGAGTTCTGCGTGTGCGACGGAGGGCGTGTCACCTGCTGGGATGGAGAGTGTGCCAGAGTGGAGTGTGGGCCGGTAAGAAAGTGGTGGCGTTTTGATCCATCTAAGTATTCATTATGTGTATGACCAGCTTGAAGGGTTTCTAGGCTGCCTTTCCGCCCATGCATCCAAGCTGGGACTTTCGTGTTAGTCCAACACAGCTTGCAGAAGGCTGTTCCAACGCCCCTGTTCACTGCTCACCCCAAGGGACAGTGGTTTCCTGTGGCAAACGCAGATCCTGACTGTTTGAGTTGGGTCTTGGCTCCTCCCAACTTTCCTTTTCCCTCCCTGTGAAAAGCAGAATCAGTGACTCCAAAGAAGCACAGACTTAACCGTGTCAACAGGAGGCATTCCACCCATTTGCATTATATACCAGGCTGTGGATGCAGAATGTGGGTTAAGCTTCATGAGGGCAGCCTCCTATGCATATTTAGGCAGAAAAAAGACCCACAACATGTGGTGTGGCCTGCACAGCACAGGTAATTTTCAGTCCAGTGCAGCAGCCCCGCAGGTCCTATCAGTGTTTCGCACTGAAATATGTTATAAGTCAGCAGAAAAGCAGCAGGTAGAATCTTTCTGCTATAAAGCTTCCCAGCGCTTCTCGCTCGCTCTGTATTTAGAACAGTTGAATCAGTAAACCAGAACCAAATAGAAACCAAGTCTCGAAGGGTTTCATCCTTGGCTGGGAAAGAATTAACTTTTCTGGTCACATCCCTCTGCTTAAACTGTAACGAGGTCACAGAGGGAAACATGAATCCGTGACAGCAAGGTGGGTGTGCGATTACCAAGCATAAGAAACGTGGCGTGAGGGATTCTCTCCCTCCCAGCAAATGATTTTGGGTGAATGCATTGGCAGGTAGTGAGTTATTGTCCTCGAGACGCCCAGATATAAATTCTCAGGCAAATATGGATTATTGTTCCTTTTGCTTCTTGCAAAGAAGAGGGGAAGGGATGCTGTATGTCAACAAGCATTAAATGGCCAGGCAAATTCTACAATTCTGTGTGATAATTCCCTTTGCAGCTCTTGCTACAGCCGGAGAACAAAATTCTATGCATTTGCGGATCTTTTTAAACCATTTGGGTCACTGTAGGTGCTAAAATCTTTTCCTGACCATGGCAGTGTCCTTGTGAGGCTGTGCTTAATACCATCTGTTCCTTCAACATGTATTAAATGATGGAAGGAGTTTGAGAGGCGCTGATATTACATGGCCATTTCCAGTCCTCTATTTAACGGGCTTTCCAGTTGCAGCCTAATTTAAAGAAGGGTGCAGGAAGGCAGAGCAGAACCCTTAAAGTTGGGCATTAGCAGTTCATACCTGCACATCAGACTGTGATCAGTCTTCGCGGGGATGGTAGGATGTATTGCACCTCTGTTTTCAATCATAGTAATTGCTCCTACCCTCATTCTGGCTCAATTCAAGTTTTTCTTTTGACACTCCAGAAAAAGCGTTGCGACTGCTTGTAGCATCGGTGAGGTTCTTAGCTGCATTTTGTGAACTAGAATGCCAATGAGGATGACAATCCCTTACAGTGGAGCATAGTTTGTATTGGCGTCTAAGCCCAAGAAGTACAGCCAGTTATTACAAGTGGCCACAAGACTTTTTGTGCCAAAACATGAAGAAAATCCTTCATTTGCAAAACTGTTTTTGCAGCAATTTCATATGAGACGGACAGTTTTTAACCCCTGGAATCTGTCAGGGGATGCTACCTTCCTTTTGCGGTCAAAATTGTTGCCAAATTGTCACCAGCGGTGGGCAGCAAGGAAAAGGACCCCAAATTTCCTTTTTAAGTAAGGTACAGTATGTGGGAAAATGCAGTGGTTCTTTTCTTACTGCTGCTGTGTATTGCTCACATGTACTGGTCATTCGATGTTCAGGCCACAGTGATTTGTGTGTGATGATGGGGGCTGGAAGAAATGATTGGGGGCATATGTACTCCCTCCAGTCCTCCATGTTGTCTGTCTTTGGTGTAAACTAAGCTAAGTCCACTTGCATTTAAATGCACACCCCTGAAAGCAGCAGAACCTCCCCCCCCCACCAACTTTCATGGGGTCAAATGGTCCCGCAAAAGTGTAAACATCTCAGGAAATGCAATTTTCAACTTTACAATAAAAGTAGGGCAAATAAAAGGAATATTTCATTTATTAATTAGGGTATTTCTATCCCATCTATTATGGTTCATCTCTGGACAGCTTACAATATAAAACACCTAATAAATGCATCCTAATAACACATGACTGAAGATAAAAACATAATTAAAATATGTAAACTTTAAAATATCAGGTAAATAAAAAGGTCTAGACCTGGTGCCGAAAGGCATATAACGTCGGCACCAGGTGAACCTCTCTGGGGAGTGCGTTCCATAGCCGGGGTGCCACCACAGAGAAGGCCCTCCTTCAGGTGTTCTCTCTCCTGAATATGATGGAAGCGCACAAAATTAAGGATGGTGGAAGAAAGGATGTAGGCTAGAGGGCTTTTTTTCCTTCTCCTAATCCTGGAACCTGGGGTCTGCTAGTGAAGATCAAGTGCTGAGAGATTTGGGACAGACAGAAGGAAGAGCTTCTGCTCACAGCGCGGTGCCAAACTCTAGAATTCCTGCTCACAGGTGTGGTGCGGTCAGGAACGCGGCTGGCTTTCGGAGGGGATTATGCGTCTTTGTGGAGCATGGAGGAGCATGCTTCTATGCAGCCGCCGCCTGTGGACTTCCCATAGTAATCTGCTTCGCCACTGTGCAAATGACAAGCTATATTATACAGTATACAGTAGATATACTATATATGAAATGCGACACAGTATATATACTATATATGAAATGCTGTGCCTTTGGTTACTCCGGCAAGACTCTCCTTTCCATATTTCGAGGCTCCACACCCAGGGAAAGGGGAAACGGCCCCTAACCTGATTTCAGAAGCTAGAGACGTGCGTTCTTCATCTCAGGACATCACGCTGCCCCAGGAATTGCAGGCGATACCGACCATTGCGTGCACAATCAAAAGTGGCTTTTTGCACAACCCGCCTGCCGCCGCTGCCCTGTCCCGGCTATCACATTGTAGGCTGGGCAGCAAAAAGCGAGACCGTTGTCTTAAACGAGCCTTCTCAGCCCTGGCTCTTGGCAGGCGTGCGCACATTTTTTGGCAAGGAGAGCCCTGCCTTGTACATATTTGTTCCTTGCCTTTGAACTGCAGCGTGTTCTCGTGTTTGCTTGGCTAGGTAAGAACAGAAGCCAGGAATGTCAACTGTCTGTGCTGACTGCAGAGCACAGAGATTTGTTAATGGATGTTTCAGTAGTTAGAAAGGGTAAAGAGTGGCCATCCTGGCTGGGGGAAGATGGGGGCTGTAGTCCAACACATCCACAGTTTGGGGAAGCTGTTCCAGCGACGTGGTTTCCAGAAGTGATCGGCATTGCGGGAAGCTTCTCCCCTGAAGGGTAGATGAAACAAACGTTGCTTTCAAAGGACTTGGCGTTGCTGTTTTCTGTGTGGGAGGGTGGATAGGTGGGTGGAAGGAATTACCTTTCATGCGCACCCCGCCAAAGAAAAATGAGCTTCATTTCAAGCACATGTCCTCCCACGTTGACTTCAGTGGGTTTCAGTGGGATTCCTCCAACACTGACTGAGGTTTCCTGCAGCAAATACCTGCTGGCTGTGCAGAGTTCATGAGTCGGTGTGGACAGGATAAAGTGCTCCGTGGACACCTGTGATTGCATTACGCTCCTATCCATTTTCGGGAGGAAGTCCCATTGAACTGCTTTGAAATTAGTTTTGGGTAGATGTGTAGGGATGGACCAGCCTGTTCCAACCTGGTCCCCTTCCGCTGGGTTGGGGAACTGCTCCTAGTATACTGGGAGTTGTAGTCAAACACTTCTGGAGGTTTCCAGGATGGGGTAGGTTCCACAGAACTGTCGTAACATCTGCATTGGTTTCCAGAGCCTAAGTTCTTGTGCTTGTGTTTAAAGCCTTCCACCACTTAGGACCAGAGGATCTGAAGGATCCTAGGCTGATGTCCACCTGAGCTGTCTGTATGCCGAGATTGTCTCTCTTGGTTTTCTTTTGCGTGCCTGCACAATTATCTGTTCATAACAATAACCCATAAAAGAAGAGGCAGCCTAAACTGGCAAACTTCAGAACGTTGAGTGGCTTGAAAAGGAAAATGCCACCCATGTGAAAGTTGATCTCAGATATGCTAAGTGCTGATCCAGGAATGGGCCTTCTTGATGCTGGCAGCTTAGGCACAACTCTGTACGTGTTTACACACGCACACACGCACAACTCCCAGCATTCCCCGGCTGCAGAATGCAGTTGTAGGGCTTTCTGTTCTGTCTAAACATGTATAGGGTTCTTCCCCTGGTTATGGATACTTCTACCCATGGATTTTTAGCTGGCACTGGTCTTAATATCATTTCAGCAGCAGGAGAATTCTCCTAGAGGTTTAAGATGGTGAGCTTTATTTCTAATTATTGTATGTGTGCTTTGTGTACCTGGATATTTGGGTTCATACCTGGAGGCATAGGTGTATCTATGTAAACTGTTCCCAACCTAGAACCTTCTTGATTTGTTAGAATACAATCTACACCATCTTCACCAGAACGTGATAGTCGGACTTGTAATTCAAAGATGGGGGAGGTCAATGTATGTGTTGGACCACTGACCAGGCCAAGCTGGAATTAAGTCCCTCTTTGCTTATGTCCACACCCTGGGGAATCCCGAACATGTCACTTAACCTACTTTGTGGGTGGTTCTGAGGATAAGGGATAGCCACAGTGTGGAACTGGCTGCAGGTGTTTGAGGGACCCTGGGAAGGTCATCCTCCATGGCCCCCTACCTTCCCCTCTCTTGGGGTAGGTAGCGTGGCATAGTGGTTAGAGGGTTGGACAGGGAATCTGGGCACTCCAGGTTCTTGTCTTTGGCCAGCCGTGGTGCTCCCTGGGTGATTTTGTGGCAGTCACAGACGTATTAGCCACCCTGGGTCCCTTGTAAGAGGAAAAATGGTGGGATATAAATACAATGGAATGAAGGAACGAACAGCCCCTCAGTCTAATCCACCTCACAGGGTCGTTGTGGTGACAATAACATTGGGAGGAGGAGAATTATGTCAGCTGCTCTGAGTTCCTTTAAAAGGAAAAAGGTGGGGTATAAATCTGTAAACAAATGAATAAACAAAGCCTCTTCTCGCCACCATGGTCGCCGGCTGCTCTTGCTCCGTCTCCTCTTCCTCTGTTGCTACTGTTTGCTCACCTGGCAGCAGAAAGCCGGGAAGCGGGGCGGCAGCGGTGGCATCCGCTGCTTCTCCGTCGCACCAATGCCGTTGCCTGGGCCGCAGTGAATGGCGAGCGAGCAGGCGGGAGGCGGGGAGGACAGGAAGGCCCCTGGCAGGGGCAGATCCATGAGCCGCTTTGGTGCCAGCCCTGGGCTCCATGGAGGAGCCCCACAAGGCGCCCGCGGTGTGCGCAGCCCTCATGCTCTGGACCCTGCACAGCCTGGCCATGAAGCTGGAGCCACAACTCCCTGCCTTTGCTGACGCAGCACCAGCATTTTGGCCTTCCAAGTGAAGCGGCCAGGGATCGTGTTGCAAACACCCTGGCATTTGAGCACGCCTACCTTTTGGGGAAGGACAAAGAGTGATGGAATGGGCTGCGAGGCGATAAAGGGAAACAGGATCCTGAAGGCTGCATTCCAGTAAAAAATGGCCCTCTTCCCACTGTCTTCTGCCCATATCATTTAAAAATGCGGATGCGGGTGTCTTGCTCAGACTGCCTCTTTCTCTGCAGGGTGAAGAATTAGTTCATCTGGAAGGCAAGTGTTGCCCGGAGTGCCTTTTAAGAGCGGCGCCCTGTGTTCACAATGAACATACCAAAGAGGTAAGTAATTTGCAGCAGGGAGAAATGCCAGGGTGGGAGATGGTTGGGAAATGTGTGTTTGTGCAAAGCAGAGGCACCAGCACATCACAGCTGATACCACCTGACCCATGTGGATGAGAGCTATGCCAGTGCAGAAGATGGTGCTGGGATAAAATGCAGATTGTAGCATTCAGAAACTTCCTGCAAGTATTTTATTTTCATTTATTTCTTAAAGCAGATTTCCTGCCCCTGTGGGAGGGGTGGGGAAGATGTGAGCTGGGGCCACATGTGCCCCTCCTGGCCAATTTCATCCACCCTCACTGCTGCCGCCTGCCTAAAATTCAGTGGTGCAGCAGCAGGAAAAAAGAACCTGCGGATTGTCCTCCCGGCACACCTTATTTTAAAGGGAAATCGGCAGCTCTTTTTCTTGCCAGTGCTGTGCTTCAGGGGTGGAGGGGAGGCAGTCAGCCTCCCAACTCCTGGAAGGTCCCCACTTCTGTAAGTGTTCAGGGCTGGAGAGCAGGCAACCGCAGCTGGTGGAAAGGAGAAGCCGCTCCCGTGTATTGGCCCTTCTGGACCGCCTCCAGCAGACAAGCAGAGCAAGCTGTGCCTGGGAACAAGCCCCATAAAGCGCAGTGGTCTGTCTGTCTTGGTGAATGTGCCCAGAATGAAAGGGTTTCGCATCACGTCCCCAAAGCGCACCAGGTCTCCCCTGCACGGAGAGCATGGAGATGTTGTGGGAGGCGGAGCCAGGCTGGCAGGAGTGAAGGGGGGCAGCAGACCCACCTCTGCTCTCCCCACGTGTGTAAGGAACACCCAGACAGATGGATGACCTCTGTAATGTCGGGTTAGTTCACAAATCTGCAAGCAGAGCAGCACAGAGGCAAAAGATGGGAGTGACTGCACCCCGGGCCCGATCCACTCCCCTCTCTCAGCCTCGCCATCTTGTGCCAGCAAATGCCCAAATTGGCCATGCCTCACATGGAGCTTCTGCAGAACCGATCCCAGGCCTTCCACTCCCGCTAGGAAGTAGCCCAGTGAGGGAAGCACACCTGCGAGAGCGGAGAGCTGCCACCTGTGACTGCCCGTCAGGTGACATCCTGAAGCTAGGACAACGCACGGGACTTAGGATGGCTAAATCCATGGTAATATGCTTACCCCGGGTAGGCAAACTGATGCTTTCTAGATATTTTGGATTGAAACTACCATAAGCCCCAGCCAACACAGCCAGTGGTCGGGGAATAAGGGAGTGTTGGTCCAAAATGTCTGAAAGGCACCAGGTTTTGTACCCGTGATAGTCCAGCATCAGTGTCCAACGGGATCCATTCCAGCCCCCTGCCAAAGGCCACACTGTCCCAGCCACTTGCCGAAGGATGCAAGCGGAGCACTTAGAAATGATCTGGAAACGTTTTCCATCAGTTGCTGGCTTTATCGGCATGGGTTATATTATTCAGTGATCTTTTGCAGCACTTTTCCTCCCAGATGTTTACTGTTTTAATTCAGAGTACTGTCCTCATTCCAGCAAGTGAATGATGACATTAAGTTACTACATTTATACAAGTGAGTGACTCCTAGCAGGGTAATCGATAAAAGACAAAGAACAAAAGAAAGATCAATTTTGTCTGAACTGTACCATCCAGGCCTGCATCAAAGCATTTGCAGGCAGGTGCAATGTCAGTGTTCAGAGCTGCAGAAGAGCCCAATATAGCTGCTTGTCAAGGTGGGTGTGCCAGGAAAGGGAAGATGCAAATGGATACAGATATGTAATAGCTGGCTAGATTGCATCCTACAGATTCTTCATTCTGGGAGCCTGGTGGGAGGGGAGGGGAGGGAAGGGGAAGGAATGGAAGCTGGTATGACAGTCCCAACCAGCTGGGCAACACATTCAGTAGCACTTCTCTAGCCATGCAGATAAATAGCTTCGGGGATACAGAACCAGAAGCCTGCAACTCAAGTATGGCCTTTCCCCATATTCTGAAAGGTAAAAGCCCAACTTCTGAACCTAAATTCCTGGCTGCAAGAACTTCAAGCAGAAAGATGGTGCTATTGTGGGAGGGGTTAGCCCTGGTCTTGCCTGTCTTGCCTTTGGCTTCTCCTCAGCCCCCTCAAAAGCAGCATCTCTACAATGGGACTGGCCCTCAGTTGGCAAAGGTTGTGACGTTGCTGCTTTCAACTCGCAGTTTCTCATGCTTTTCTCTGGGGCACTGCCTCCCTTCCTTCAACGTATGGTAAGAGGGCCCTCCATTTGGCTGCATGGGGGCTGTGGACCACTGCCCACAAGGTCTTTCCTGATGGCACCATGGACTTCTCCAGAAGATGCAAAACCAGGGACAGGGATGACCAGCCTAGTTCCACAAGCCAAAGAAAATTCCACATTGTTCTCCAACTGGGAGCTGCTTTATCTGAAATAGGAGCATGCGTCCACCTTGCTCCGTACTTTACCTGGTAACAGCAGTTTCTGAGCTGTGTACCATGGGGTAGTGGGACACTTGAGAAGAGCTCATATGCATATTATTCATGAGAATATTTTAGCTACAGGATCCAGGGAGTTCCTAATAATGACCTTTTGGGGTAGAGCTGGGGCAGAATGCTGCCCATGTGTCTCGCTTGGTACTCTTCCAGTACAAACAGAATCTGTGTGATATTATTATTACAGGCATTTCATGTCTTGCATTTTTCCCTTTTGCAGGGAACCAAAGGCGGTTTACACAGGGCCTTCAACGCATGGGCCTGATGGGCACTTGCCCGTGGGCCCCATACCAATCTGTGTATGTTAACCCTTGGAAAATGGGAAAACTTCCAAAATTAACAGTGGTTGTAGTTGTCATAGGGGCCCCAGTACACTGCTTTGCCTGGGGCCCATAATGCTGTTAAGACAGCCCTGGGTTTACATAACCCTCTCTATTTTATCCCAACAGCCCTGTGAGGTAGGCTAGGCTGAGAGGAAATGACTGGCTCAAAGTCACCCAGTGAGTTCCATAGTCAAGTGGGGATTGGGACATGGATTCAGCTCTAACCACTGTGCCATGCTGCCTTTCGTTTCAAAAAAGACATAACTACTGGAGATTGCCAAAGCATATGTTAAAAGACGAGTCGGCTGTATAGCAGCACCAGAAATCTGGCAAATTTAGGCAATCGCTTATTAAAGAGATCCTGTGGGGTGCAATAGACTGGAAACCAAAGTTTTTGTGGGATGAGACAAAGCCTTAAATCCAGAGACACGGCAGGCAGATGTAAAAGGAACAACCCACAGATCAGGCGTTTTGTAGTGGAGCCCAGAACAGTTTCTCAGAATCCTAAGTCTGATTGCTTGTTCAAAAAGTTGGGAAGCCCTGAATTAGAATGGCAGAGTGAGACTGCGAAGGCCAAGGTTCAATTTGCCACACGGCCATGACGCTCCTGGGATGACTTTGGGCCAGGCGCTGCCTCTCAGCCTGACAATCGCTCAGGGTTCTTGCTGAGATGAAGGGGTTAGGGAGCGTGTATGTTGCCTTCTGTTCCTTGCAGGGGACACAAAATAGAAATATAATAAATGGACAAATAGTATTTGTTTTTTACATTTCCGTACTGCCCAGAGCCAAAGCTCTTTGGGCAGATTATAGAGACTGAGAACCTTAAAAACTTGCCATATGCTGCTAAATGTCAAAGCAAGCGGGAAAGTCCCTTTTGCCATCACTTGCGCAGACGTGGGTGTTTGTGGCTGTAACCTGCGCCGGGCAAAGTTGTTTCTGGGCAGATTTGAACAGCCGCCTTCCCTTGTGGGTAGCTTCTCAGGGGGTGCTTGGTGGGGCTGGGCAGAGCCAGAGTCAAAGGAATGGGACATCTCTCTTTCACTTCATTTCAGATATTAAATTTCTCTACTGCCTAGCACTCTGAATGGCTTACAGAGATTAGAACCTTACTCAAAATGATGAAAACCCATTAATACAGAAACATATAAGCAGACAACACCTGCCGAGAGTCATGTACATATAACACACTTTTAAACAACGGGAAATTCCAGTACCTGATTGAAACGGCAACATACGGGATCACGTGCCTGAGAAAAGAGGAGGAGCATAGCCGACGCAGAGTAGAAGGGGTTGCCATGTTGGTAGCGGGTGGACCTTGCTAGGGAAATGGTTTCATGATCAGCGGGGCCACCCCTGGGAAGGCCCTGTCCCTTGTTGCCGCTTTCCAGGCCACCCTCACAGAGGCACCTGAGATAACGACTGTAGCAGACAGGTCATATTGGAAGAGGCAGTCTTTCATATTTCATGCCCTGTAACATTTTCTTGGGTAGGATGGCGACAAGTGGAAGGAAGGCCCGTGTCGTGAATGCGAGTGCCGGGACTCGGAGGTGGTCTGCTACGCTCGATCGTGTCCGACCTGCCCCTCGGGCAGCGTGGCTGTACCTGCAACAGGAGAGTGTTGCCCTCGGTGCCAGCCAGGTATTTGCATGACCCTGAAGCTGCTCTTTGTTTCTTTAGATTTCCACCTGCCAGCGTCCTGGATGACCCCCAGGGAGCTTAGGCTTAGGACCAAGTAGCTTTGGGTACCATCCGCTGTCTTCTCCCCCGGTGCACGGAAGCTTCTGGCCTCGGAGGCCCATGTGTGCGCAGGACATGGAGTGACGTGTGACGGGGCAGCCTTTTTCTTCCGCTGCGTTGCATCCACACAGCTGCCTTTGGCTGTCGAGCAGATGCGTAACTGAGGGGTGGAAAGGACCATTTGTGCACGGCATAAGCGGTCGCCTGACCCTCCTCCCCCCCCACCTCCCCCCATCCTTCTCTCCAAGGCCACTTGGCAACCTCACTGAAGCAGGCGGCTCTGTTCTTCCTGCTCCCGTTGCAGAGCGAGCAAGGTGGGGCTTGGTGTTTGTAGTCCCAGCACCGAGGTCGTAGGAGGCTGAGGGAGCCACAGGGCCGCACCCCAAAACAGCACCTCCACAGACTTCTGAATATCGACCCACACGCTTTGTCCAGAAATGGGGACCAAGTGGCTTGGCAAGTCACATTCCCCAGCAAAGACCAGCTTGGTCATTCAAGCAACTGAAGGAAACTTGGCTAGTTGAGCCACGGCCTGCTGGAGGCCATGCTGTGGACCTTCTTGGTGCGGCAGCCTTCTTCCACTCCCCAACACGTGGAATGTTCCCCCAACACGTGGGAGGCCCCCCCGTGACACCTACGAGATGCCAGCTAAAGACCTGCCTTCCCACCTCGGCCTCCCCTGACTGATTGCGCTTCCCATCCTGTTGATTTGCTAGTTGTCTGAGTTCGAGTTTTAATTGAGAATGGGCTTTTTCTTGTTCTAAATATGTTAAACTGAGGTTATTTATATGCTCTGTTCACATGTTTTAGACGTTAAATTGCATGTCGCTTTTAAATGTCTTTTAGATATAGTCAAATGGTATATAAATAGATGCAGAAATGTTAATTGTACAAAATGTCAGCCTGAACTTTAAGCATGAGCTTCCTCTGTGTGTGGGTATTCCATGGAGCATTTTGCTGATAACCCCAAATGCAAAGAGACTTGAGACATAGCTCATTCCCTGCCTCACTCTTTTTAACAGAGTGTGGGATATAATTGTCATCAAGATGCCAGTAAAAATTCCCCTCATGTGGCAAAGGATCTCCGCCTGATGTTTTGAAGCATTTAAAGCAGGGGTTTAAATTCCTTCACTCTGGGTGCTGAATTCACTTTTGGCCAAGCTGTTGGCAGTTGCATTCCATGGGTAGGCAAAGCTGAGAGTGACGAAGAGTGCGGATAGTGGCCAAAATATCCCAAATCCAAGCCTATAGCTGTTTGAGCTTAAAGCTCTTGTTGCTTGTAACTAAGGCTTCTTCTTCATGGTCTCTTTGCATCGCACACATACTGGTGTGGGACCAGGAGACGGGACCGTGGCCATTTGGGAAACTCTCTGGGCTTGCGGGTGAATGTTCCTGGTTTGCAACATGGATTTTGCCGTGATGTTGGGAGTCTCTCTGCTTCTTAGGGATATGTGAAGAATCGCATGAGGGGTGAAAATCTGGCAAATATGTGTAATTCAGCTCCCCTCACCGCTCCCAGTCCTAGAGTCTGTTTTGCTGGCCCTGCACTGTTGCCTGCGTGAGACAGCCCACAGATTTCCATCTTTTAAGGCAGATGGCAGTTTGCACATGTTTAAAAAGCGCTAAAAATCACACAGTTGGTGCAAATGGAAGCCGAAACCTATGATCTTCTAGTGGTGCTGCAAATATATAGTTTCTGGCTTCCATTTTGTGTCTGTTGTGTCACTTTATCCAAATTGCATGATTTACACAAATTTCCACAGTACATATAAAAATGTGCAAACTGTGGCATATCATTGAGATGGGGTCTGCAGAAAAGCACCCAGCTCTGCAGGAAGTGAGTTGAGTTAAAATGAACCAGCCTTTTCACCATCAGCATATCCCTACAGCCAGTGTGGCGTAGTGGTTAAGAGCGTGGGACTGGGACTCAGAGGATCTGGGTTCTAGTCCCCGCTTGGCCATGGAGCCAACTGGGTGACTCTGGGCCAGTCACAGGCTCTCAGCCCAACCTACCTCACAGGGCTGTTGTTGAGTGGATAACATGGAGAGGAGGAGGAAGAGGAGAATGATGTGAACTGCTTTGAATTCTTCAAATAAAAAGGGGGGGGCAGGTTATAAATTTAATAATTTTAGGTTAATAATGTATTAATGAAATAAATGTTTAATTAAAATAAAATAGTACTCCTTCCAAACAGTTGTCAGGATGAAGAGGCCTGATGAAATGGCAGCATCCAAGGCCTAGGTGGTCCTGTGTGTGCTGAGACATTATTGATCATGTAGGGCTTAGTCATCTCCGTGAAGCCTTTTTCAGGGGGAGGAATCGGAGTGCCCCGCGCTGTGGCCATTCGGGTAGCTTCTAGTCCTGAATCAGCACTCTTGCCCTGAGAAGATTTGGACCCCTCATCCCCAGAAGACAAGGCTCCGGAGTTAATAGTAGACGGTCGAGACCTAGGATCCTTCCACTCCCCTGTACCCACTTCGCTAAAACAAAAAACCTCAGGGCCCAGCTCTCTTCCACCCAAAGATGTCCATTGTGCTCAGACTATGAGGTCTCAGGCCAGGAGGATGCTCTAAAGCCACAGCTGTCCCCACATTGCTGCAGCTTGAGATTTCTAAATGGGCCTTTTAACCAACAAAGCCTCTGTCAGCTTGGCGACAGCGCCGACCACCCCAAACGCAGCAACGCTTTTGTTAGGATATCAGTCTTGCCCGGATCCTTGTTAGAGCCGTGTGCAAAGGATCCTGTGGGGCTGCCAGCCCCAGCACCTCTCAGGGATGTCCACTGTGCTGATTGCTTTGCCCTTGCTTCTGGAGAAACCTGCCTTAACCTGCTGCCTACGCCAGTTCCTGATCCCAGCAGCCACATTACTGAGCACCCTCAGAAGCCATACCCACAGTTACCGTGATTCTGCAGCTCTGGGACCTCTTGCACTCAGAAAGCATTTCTTTGTGAATTGTTTGCACAAGACTTCCTCCTTGCATTTCAGGAAATGCTGGGTCATTCTAATAATTGCATTCACCCTTCATGTTATTATTATTTCATTACTGTTCTACCCAGTAACCAAAACTCTCTGCCTTGGTCTTTGTGCAGTCATGTTCTGAAGAGCTCCAGGAACTTCATGTATTTTCCTTCAATAATAGTAACCCTGCTGGGTGGGAGATCCATCTTCAAATTACAGCCGAGGCAGAAAAGGGGGGTACCTCAGGCTGTGTGTTCAGGATAAGATGGAAACAGGATAAGGCAGAAACAGAAACTTTCTGTCCCACTTTTCGTTTTCACAGTGCGCCACCTCTAAAACCCACCCTTAGTTCACAGTGGGGGTCTTAGCTGGCCTGAGCTGAAGAGGGATGATTCTGTCTACATTTTTTTTTATAACACTTGGCTTACTTTCAAGCAACTTGCCTTCAGTTCCCTTTCTAGATTAGTATGCACATTTTTAAAAAATACATCAAAAGGAACATTGGCATGCATTTTCGGGCACATGAACATATATATGCATTTTGTACACAAAACCCATGAATATGAGTGGCCTCCCCTCCAAGCTCAGGCCGGCCACAGGCCTGCTTAGCTTCAACATGGTGGATGCCTTACATGCCTTCGGACCACACTCTGGCTAAGGGAGGAATCCTGCATGCACCTCTCCAAACCAGTGTCAGGAGTGCTGGGTTAGACTGCCCCATGGTCTGACTCGCTACAAGGATCCAGCCGTGTCGCAGCACTCATCCTCTTGCTGTCGCAGTAGTACAACATCTCCTCCAGGATGGTTCATGCTAATGCAGCATCAGAGGGCCTAAGCACTGTGACACCACCGTTTCCTTTTTCATCTGTTCTTTAGCTGAACCAGATGGATTTCTGCCCCATCCCTTTCTAAAGCACATCCAACATTCTCCAAAGGCTGTGCGGAAGATTAGGAAAACAGAACAAGCTGCATTTCAGAGAATCTTGTTTGCCGTCACTGATTTTCTCACTGGAAAACTTTACAAGGAACCACAGGGAAACACAGGATGGAAAGCTGCGGCAGGGCACAATTTGTGTACTGAGAAAAATGTATCTGTGGGCACGCATGTCTGTGCATAATGTGCTCAGACACACTGAAATTGGGTTCTCTCCTCTTTCCAACAGGCCAGTGTCATCCTGACTGTCTGACCTGCTCACAGTCTTTTGATCGCTGCGATGTCTGCCGTGATGCGACCAAGTGGCTGAAGAATGGGCGCTGCGTGGCCAGCTGTGGACCTGGATTCTATCCAGATGCTGGCCTGTGCTTAGGTACCATCCCATTCTTCATGAGATGTTGGAGTTGTCTTGCCATGTGGGTGGTGCTTGGGGACTTGAGCTGGATGTGTGATGTTCCTGAGGGTAAAGCATGAAAAAATTATCCTGTGGATCTGTTTCTTTTTTTTAATGTGTTTTTTACATTTTTAATACTGAGCCAACAATAGCTACTGCAACATCAGTGGCATTTGCTGGCATGGCGGCTTCCTCTCTTGCAAATGCTGTGGGTGTTGTGCGAGAGCTAAAGATAAGCTTGCGCTACTGAAATGTATGTTAGTGCCAGTGACAAACGGGATACTGCCTCATATTAAAGTAGGGTTTGTCTGACTCCTCTGACAAGACAGCCTTTAAAAGATGTTAAATTGGATTCTGAGTCAGAAGGAAAAGAGGAGAGGCCAGAATCTGTAGTGAATTGCCAAGGCTATTGGTCCCAAAGATAAACCAGGCAGTTGCTGAGAATCAGACAGTTTCTAACTCTCTGGGAAAACTGAGTGAACAAGCTGAATGAACAAGCTTAACATCATTAGTCTAATCCTACAGCATCAGGTTCAGAGGGTGGACCAAATGTGTCCCAGTGTCAGATTTTCAGTAATACCCTTCTCTCATACTGCAGAGCCAGCCCAGCTGGTCAGCTTTAATACGATAAAGGCTTTGAGTTAGAAAGCCTTTGTAAACCTCAGCAATTAGCAAGAATAGAATATACTAAAAACGGTGAAAAGGGCAACAGGGAGGTGACCATTCTAATCTTAGCGTAACCTCAGGTTGTCAGAAGTATCACATGTTGCGTATCCTTTCTCACACAGTGCTGATATTGGTGTGGTGCCAGCGGGGATATTCCTGTGGGAGGCCACATCAAGAAGGGAGTTGAGGGTTATTCCTCAAAGGAGGCACAGTAGAGTTCGAGGATTATTCCTCAAAGTCAGCAAAATAAGAGCTTTCTAGTGCTAAGATGCTCTTTCCTCTCTCTGTTCCCTCCCTTGGTTAGCCTGTAAGAAGATGTGCTCCACCTGCACGGATGGGTTTAGCTGTACTTCATGCCAAGATCCACTGCGATTGGAGGACGGCCAGTGTGTGATGTCATGTGCGGAAGGGCACTTCCCAGGACCTCTCCAGTGTACAGGTGATGTGTTAAAATCCCTATATTTGACCACACAAACTATTTGTGTGTTCTGTCCAGTCCAGCTTGGACAACAAATGCAATCCAACAATGCATAGTGTCTTGAGGTGGGTCCAAACCCCATGTCCTCACGGAGCAACACATGACTATTAAATATTGTGAATAAGCAGACTTCAGTAATGACAGATGGAAATACAAGAGGCCACAATATTTTTTTGCCAGTGACCCACCCTGAAAAAGAATATGAGGTGTAAAGGTAAGTAAGTAAATAAATAAAGCAACACCAGTACAAGTTTCCAATTCGGACTTCTCAGGTTCGGACTTCTAAGCAAAACTGAAATACAACAGTGAGACATAGGTCTGATTCACACATCTTGCCAAGCCATGGTGTGGCTTGTTGAATTCTTGCCATGTTTGAACTCATCACTGTGAACAAACCATGGCTTGTTATACAGCCATGAACTGTACCTAGAACCCTGGTTACCTGAAGGAGCGCTTACGTCCATATATGCCCAGCCGCCCCCTGAGATCAGCGGGAGAGGCCCTCCTCCGGGAGCCCTCGGTGAAGGAAAATAGGAGGGTGGTTACTCGGAGGAGGGCTTTCTCAGCGGTGGTGCCTAAGTTATGGAATGCGCTCCCCAGAGAGGTCCGCCTGGCGCCGTCGTTATTTGTTTTTCGGCGCCAGGCGAAGACCTTTTTATTTAAGCAGCATTTTAAATGTTAATATTATTGAATTTTATTTGGCCAGGGCGGCTTATTTTATTCTACTGTATATATTTTAATTGTTATTGTTTTAATTTATTCTGTATTTTATTCAATGTTGTGAGCCGCCCCGAGGCTTCGGCAAGGGGCGGCATAGAAATGTTTTAATAAATAAATAAATAAACACATGTCTGTCTTGAGTCCTGCACTGAGCAGGGGGTAGGACTTAATGGCCTTCTAAGCCCCTTCCAAATGTATGATTCTATGAACTTTGTCCTCTTTAAAGTCTGGCTTCTTTAAACCATGGCTTAATGTGATTTCCGAACCCAAGACTGTGACTTATTTCTGGCTTGTTTGTGCAGCTGTATACAGTAGCCTGCAAATTGAAAGTTGGCAAAATTATTGGAGGGGTACAAAGCAGAAATAGGGAGAATGAAGTCATGGTTGGTTTGCCCTGTCTGCGAGAAAAATGATGGCTGAAGCGAGAAGGACGAGCAGTGGCTGAGCAAATGTGAGACTCCAGCTGCACTAACTTACAGTCAAAGTGTCCAGATAAATAGTTACAACCATCTATATCCAAACTTTCCCATGTTCAGTGTATGCATTTATATTCAAAACCGGCCATGAATGCATGTGTGTGTTTGGGCATGTATGGTTCTTGCTATCTGTTGTTCTGTTTGGCCTTAGTCATTTTCCCAAGCCTTGTTAAAAGCTCGCATTGGGTCTGATGGCCACATTTTAACAACTGACTCCAGTTGCCTTTTGTGGAAGAAATATAAATCTTGTGGCTGGAAAGCCTTCTGCTGGCTGAGCACACCTGCATAGGCTTGAGTAGACATAACTCGTATTCTTTTTGCCTTTCTCGGCGTCCCAGGAATTCCAGGTGTGTTTTGATAGGGAGTGGGAGGCACAGAGGTGGGGCTGGCTTCTGGGGAGGGCCTGGGAGTGGAAGCACAGCCCTGCCCGGGGTCGATGTCGTCACTGTGTGGTGCTGGGCACTGCGATTTTGCCTTTGCCTGCTCAGGTGCGAGCTCCACCGGGTTCGATGGACCTCTTCCCTGGGAACTGCACTGAGCACTGCAGCTTTTATGTTCCAGCTGATGGCCATCATGCAAAGAAAGAGTCCAGTCATGTTTGGGCCATGAGTGTAGGGAGTGAAGCCCCTCGCCCCTCTTGGAGGGCCTCCCAGGGCCATCAGGACTGGGATTCCGAAAAAGAGGAGACCATTGTGGAAGCTGAGATGGGAGTTCTGGGAGAGCTGCAGGGAGAGGCACGGGCCTTGTGAGAGTCCTCAAGGTCGCAGCCCAAAGGTGCCCAAACTGACCCGAAGGGACGGAAGGGGAGCCATGGCCTTGCCGGTTCCTGACTCCATGACGAGGCATCAGGAGAGACAAGCTGCCCGGTTCGAGGGCTTGTTGGCTCGCCGTTCACCAGGGGTAGCTGACCTGAGGGCGGACCCTCAGAGTTACTGCAAAGGGAAGGTTCTGGGGGAGAGGCCCCTAGCTTGGGTTCAGTTCCTCCTGCCTGACATGTGCAGAGGCTTATCTTCCAGCTTACTAGAAGGCGTTTGGAGTGACTTGGTCCTGTAGCTGTGAAGTGCCAATTAAGATCTGCATTGCGGAGACTATTTGGCGTGTGAGCGCCTAAGGGCGAAAAGGGAAGAGCCGGGTTTCCAACAAAGAGTCTATTAAAAAAATGGGTCATGCCACAAAACTGATGCATGGAAACTGCTGCATTGAAAGGAGAACCAAGTACTTTAGGCTGCAAACCTACGCAAGTTTCAGCAGGGAAAAAAGGACTACAACTCCCAGCATGCCCCAGCTAAACTTGCAGAGGGTTGCACCTTCAAATTATCAATGTATACTTGATCTTAATGCGGTTCGCAGTGCTCTGCAAACAGCAATCTTCCTCAGGGGAAGCACTGATAGATTCACGCCTGCCAGCTCTGAGCCATACGTTACCTGCAACAGGGCTGCATTTTCAACAGCCAATGTGTGACGGTGGGAGTTACCTTGGAGCGTTTGCTTCGTGCAAGAGGAAATTCCAGTAAGATATCACTGCCAACCTGCATAGGAACATGGTATGCTCTGGCTGGCGTTTTCTGGGTTTCCCATTGCTTGTACATGCTGCCTGGTGCAGAGGGATTTCTAAATAGTTCCTACAGTAAGCTTCAGAAATGGACCCACCCCCCACCCAAATCAGTCTCCAGATGCCAACCAGAGGCCAAAAGAAGCTGTGGAAGGGGTTAAGGGTTCCAATGCCTTCAGGTTATACAAAGGCCATTGACCAAAGGCAATAAAAATTGGTGGTGGTGGTGGTGGTGGTATGTTTGGGTTTCTCAGCTCACTAGGTTGCACTTCCTTTTTGCAATGTCCTGCCCGTGAAACTGATCGATGGCAAGATTGTTATGGAAAGTACTTTGTTTCCATTAATTCTTCCTGTTTCCAGGGTTTTCTCGGAAACCATGAGGTCTAGAACCTTAGGGTATTTGGAAAATGGATTTTTCTCTGCATGTGAAAATCTCTACCAAGCCCTTTCCTTGAACTTGCACAATCCATGGACTGTTGTTGAGATCACGTAAATGTCTGTGGCAAAATCACAGTTTTTGCATTTGCATGGTGAACACACAGAATTGTGGGAAACCTCCTGTCCCTTGTTCGTATATTAAAAAGATGCTGCCTGACAGGCCTTGTCCCCATCCACATTTTCCCTGTTTTACATTTTCTTTCACAGCCCACTTTGGTGTCTCTAATTGGCGAGTCGTTCCCACCCCCTGCCGCGCCCTGCTCAAAGATGGCTATTCGTTTCACCTTATTACCCGTTTTGAAGCTCACTCATTCTGCATCTCATCCATATTTGCACTCATGCATGTCGGCAGGAGAAAGTTGCTGGGGAATTTTCTTTTATCTTTTCTCCAGGGAGTTCAAGCAATTTGCTTTAGTTCTGCCTGGCTGCACTTTTCTGCATAAAAACAAAAACCCACTGAGAATGCGTTGGGTTTCCAGAAATCTTTGCCACTCTGTCATTATCTACCATCCTCACCTTGCGTGTTTGTTTGGTTTAAGGCACAAATGGGAAGGATCAAATGAGCATTAATTGTGTACCTCGGTATTGTGCAAAAACAGAAGACGATTTGCTAAATGATAACTTCTAAGATGCTCATAGAGTGACCTTGTGAGCTAAAAGTCGTCTGCATTATGAGGTAGCAAGGAGAATTTCATGGTACATCAGTAAATGGTCTGAAAAGACTCAAAGTCCTATCTTCCTTCTCTCAACTTGACATGATGTTATACGCAACCAGCTTCCCATGGGGTTCCATGCACCCCTGAGTAATACCACTTGGCTTTGGTATTTTATTTCTTTAAAATACTGCACCTTCCTACTGAAGTGGTCCAAGGTAGGACATAAAAGTTACTTAAAAATAAGGAAAGCAATGATCAAATGATCAAAAAACATAACCTGCCACAGAGCTGCAATTTAAAAGACTTCTTAGACATTCAGCTCCCTCTTGTTGCCCATCTGAAGTTCTGTGAGTCACCAAAGCTATTGTTCAGTAAAGAGATGGGTGGATGCTAGGTAGGGATGTGTGAGGAATCTGTTTGGGATGGGAATCTGTCGATTCAGATTCCGCTTGATTGCTGGTTCCAGGCAGTGCTTGTAGGCTTTGCTCTGACTGTCTCCAACAACATGGCAAAATGGAATTGGTTTAACTTGCCCTTCCTCACAAGGAGAGAAAGTTGACTTCAGTGTTGGCCCGGGCTTCAACCTCCTGTTCCTGATATGCCTACACTCAAGCCCTTATGACGGTTGTAGTAACCATTTTCCCAGCTGTCATAACTCCTGAGCTTATTATAGTGTTCTCTCCATGGCAGCTTCTGGGGTGGGGGGGGGGGGAGCCCATTTATGTAGAACAGCCTTCCCCAACCTGGGGCTTTCAGAGGCATTTGGACCACAACTCCCAGCATTCCTCTCCAGCAGGGCCATTAACTGGGAATTCTGGATATTGTGGCCAAATGCATCTGGAAGGCACAAGGTTGGAGGAGGCTAATGTAGAACATAACAAAAGGTATAATATGTGAGAGATCGACATTGGTGTTTGTGTGCATTTGCGTTGTTTTTGAGACAGATACTGGTTTTGTGTGGAGGGACTTCTGCAGGGGGTTAGACTTTGGAGGAGACCGTATACCATCCCCGCATTGGAAGGATAAGCCCATTAATAACATAAGTTGAGATACAGAGCTACGTCTGAAGTGATGCGTTAGTGATTCCATAATGGCAGTTTTTGTTGGGATCAGCACCTG